GCATCTTGAAATAACGAGTATGAGAACAAGTCATTGAAATACTTGCCACCAATATCTTCCATCTCCTTGTAGCTTTTTCTAAATGGTTGAAGATATCCTGCAAGAAATAATACTGTCATAAGTGTCTTTTACTACATCTTGAAATAAGGAGTATGAGAAAAAGTCATTGAAATACTTGCCACCAATATCTTCCATCTTCTTGTAGCTTTTTCTAAATGGTTGAAGATATCCTTCACCCATCCAGAGTTGGATTAACATCTCCTTTTCCATGACAAAGTCTTTGGGGAAAATAGAGCAAAAAGCAAAACATTGTTTTAAAGCAGGTATTGGCAACCGATCAAAACTTAATTGTAATACACGCAAAACTCCATCAGCATTTTCTATTGAATCCCATACTTCCTTGTCATCTCTAATTGATGTCCAATAATCTTTGTTTATATTATTGCACAATGTCCCCCCTACAACATTTGCAACTAATGCCACACCTTTACATTTCTCAGCAATGTTCCTTCCAATACCCTCCAATTCCTCCAATTCCTCCAATTTCGAAGAATTAGGAGAGTTGCCAAATGCTTTAAGCCTGATAATAGACCAACAATCCTCTTTCGTTAGCTTGTCAAGATGCATGTGCTTGGCTCCCATTATGGAATCTACTTTCTCAATTCTAGTTGTGACAAGAACTCTATTCCCACCCCTTTTACCTATTCCCAACAAACATTTTTTTAAGTTATCCCATTTCAGCTGTTCTTCATTCCATACATCATCTAGAATGAGGAGATAGTTTTTCTCCTCAATCTCTTCAGAAGAGTTTTTTTGCACAAACTTTTCTTTAAGTTTCTGAACTACAGCTTCTTTATCTTCAAAATTCACATGACCTTTCTCATTAGTGATGAGAGATTTCAGCATCATTGCTAATATTTTTTTCTCATCAAAATTTTCAGAAACACAAACCCACATCTTTTTGTAAAAATGTTTCTCTATCAACTCATTGTTGTACACTAGTTTTGCCATGGTAGTTTTGCCTATCCCTCCCATACCAACTATGGATACAACAGGGAGAGGTTGATCATTACTTGAATCAATCAACAGCTGAACTATTTCTAGGACTTTCTTGTCTCTTCCTACAACCATTCATGGATCACCAAGTGAGGAATTTGTCTGTTGGATTCCTATATGTTCAGGAAGCTTGTTTGCGAGTCTATGTTGAAGCCCTAGTCCAGTGGCCCAATCATTAAGGCTAGCTAGATCTAAATTCAAATCCTTAATCCTATTAGCTATCTTAAGGCGAAAAGCTAAAGGATTGGAAAGAGTAAAGAAATAGCTGACCTTTTTCCAAATTTGTTTTTGAGCCACCTTGTACCTTAGATGTTCATATGCAATCTCATCCACCACATTGTCAGCTTCATCAACTATATTTCCAAGCTCCTTAAGCCAAGGTTGCAGATCAGAGTGACCTGTCACCTTCTTCTCTTCTGCATCTTGCAGCACCCCCCTGACCATGCTCAACACCACACGGAACTTCTTGAGCTCTTGCTTGAATCCCACTGCTAAGTTAAGTTGCTCAGTAGTA